TAACCCTAACCCTAATTTATTTTAATTCCCATCACTCATTCTCTTTAACTGCAGCTTCACACATCTCTCACGTCCATCTCACCTTCAGTTTCCCTGCTGTTGCTGCTGCTGCCGCCATCGGAGCCATTTGCTGTTGCTGCCGGACCATCTGTTGTTGCTACCAGACCATATGCTGCTGCCACCACCGGACCCATCTGCTGCTGCTGCTGTTTAGCCAAAGCCATCTGCTCTGCTGCTGCTACTGCTGCTGGCTGCCACTGCTGCTGGCTGCCACCACCGAATCCATCTGCTGCTGCTGCCGTTGAACAGCCAAAGCCATCTACTCTACTGCTGCTGCAAGACCCATCTGCTGCTGCTGCTGTTACCGCCACCGGAGCCTACTGTTGCTACCTCCACTGGAGCCTGCTGCTGCTGCTGCTGCTACCGCCACTGGGGCCTGCTGCTCCTGCTACCACCACAGGAGCCTACTGCTGCTACAGCCACCGGAGCCTGCTGCTGCTGTTGTCGTCGCCCAACAGCCTAAGCCATCTGCTTTGCTACTGTTGTCGGAGCTATTTGATGTTAATTGGTGGGAATTGGTGGGGAATGGGGATCCCCGCGGGGATCCCTGTTCCCCGTGGGAAACGGGGACGTCAAAAGTCCCCACCGGGATCCCAGTCTCCATGATTCGCGGGGACGAGAATGGGGAAGGGGTCCCCGGCCTCACGGGGCCCCGTTAACATCCCTATTCGTAGGCATCCTTGTCATCAAGGTTTTTAAAACCGGATCGGATCGGCCGGTTGAATCGGTCGGACCGGTACCCGATGATAAAAATGGTTCGGTTCATATAAGAAAACCGTTTGAGGTCAAAACCGATCAAAATCGGTCAAAACCGGTCAAAAACTGGTAAAAACCGATAAAAATCAATAAAAACCGATAAAACCGATAAAACCGATAAAAACCGGTAGAACCGGTGGAACCAGAAAAACCACCGATTCAATTTCTCATGCAATCTTCTTTCAATTTTTTCCAATTTCACCATTCCCATTCCTTTCTTATACCCATTTTAACCTTTAACTTTAACAAAATTACAAAATTATCAACACCAAATAAAAAAATCCATGCCTATAGCTTGCTCCTCTCATCAAACCTTCCTTATTGTTTGAACCGGCCGGTTCATCGGTTCAACCGATTGAACCGGTCAAACCGAGAACCAGACCTGAAAACGGTTCAATGACCGATCCGGTTTGAAAAACATTGCTTGTCATGCACACGGGATGGGAAGAAATATTTTTTTTTGTGGGGCAAGGGGACATTTTCTTCCTATTAAAATTTGTGGGGAATTTTCTTGTC